CCGCCGCCGTGCCGTCGCCGTGCTGCCGCCGCGCCTCCGTCACGGCCAGACCACCTCCTGTATTCAGGCCCGTTACACCCACCAGCGGTCGACCACCCAGTTACCCTCCTCTCGCCTATCGTGTCGTGTTAATTAATATCACTCCGCGCGTGCCAACTACACACCCCCTCCCTCTTCTCTTGCCCTTTTACCTCTTCCTGCAGACTTTCCAACTCTTTACGATAAAAGCCACGGGATATATGAACGTTCTCCGTGCTGGTGAACGAGTAAATTCGCAGCAGAGGGAGAAAGAGAAAGAGGGTAAAAGGACAAAGGACGAGAGTCACGGGCGCGACCACACCCCTTCCTTTCCTATAGTAGTCTTCTCTCCTGCTGCGCTTTGCGCGAGGGTGCATGCTTGGAAACAATGTGACGTTCGCGTAGGTGCTAAACCGGGAACACGAGAGACAGACAGAAAGACTCTCGAGCGCGATCCTCTTGGCTCTCTTCGCGGTCCTTCGCCAATCTCGATCTTCGTATCATCCACGGGAAACACTTCTCGCCTCCCTCGCCACTTCTTCAGACATCGAGCAGATTTTCTATTCGATCGTATATCTCTGAATCTCTCCCTATCCTCTAGATCGTGTATAGTTCAGTTGTATCGGCTACGCCATAATTCGATTTTACCCCACCTATCTAAAGCTATTGTGTTCTCGACTTTTGTACATTCGCCTCGTTCTTGGAATCCTAGAATATTCTGCGGGAATCGAAGACCTAGGAATGGGTTTAAATTCCGCGAAAATCGGCGGGGGTGGTCGCCCATAAATCCGAATGGACAACGCATAACGTGGAAAATCTATCGTCGACCACCTTGCAGTTTGTATACGCCATTCTTCGTTCAGTACTGTTGCTAAAAAGTACTAAAGCGTGTACTCTACTACTCTACTCTATGGTACTCTGAGTGTTGTCGCATTAATCAGCATCGTTATAGGATACTTCGATTTAGAATATCGTAATATAACCGGGACTATCATAAATCGCGATAAGATCGTATTTACGATATATTTGGGGCCGGAAGCGTACGCGGCAGATAAGATTCAGCAAGGAGCTGATATGGATGATGAAACAGTTTCAAATATACGCACAGAAAAATAAGAGACACGGGAACGGTTCTGGGGTAATTGAAACGCTACTTACCCTCTGATCTACCGTTCCCTCCTACACGTGGGGCCTTGGCGTTACCAACTTGTTTACGATCGCATAAAACGTTCGCGAAGAAGCGAATACAGTCAGTACTAAGATCGGAATATCTACGATACCGGAGAGCCGATTATGCGAATTTATGTCGTCTCGCAAATTACGTCTCCGGACGAATAATAAATAAGCGTGTTCGTTATTTTTAAGGCAGACCTGTGCCTTTATCACAGTGTGACATTGCAACAGGAATAGAGATAGCGAGGAGTACTCGAGCCATAGTTTAACAAGCTTCTTGCGAACAAACGAATCCTTCGCTATACAATTTACCGTGCTGACGTTTAATCTTAATATAAAATGGAGAGAACGATCGAGTGTAAGAAAAACGCCGGATTCAGAGTTATTTTACCTCGAGCATTGTTTGTCAACTTTGCCTCGCAGAACCAACAGACGCAAATCTGATCATCCGCACGACAACCGTTTATCTTTAACAGGCGACTTATCCAGCATTAGTCGACAACCTTTCTAACTATGAGTCTCAATACTTAAGTATCTACGTTGCAATGCAAACAAAGTCATTAAACCGAAACTATTTTCGCGACAAATAATACACAGTGGAGGTAAGCGTATCCGGGAAGTTTGGGCCATTGAACCGCGTTACTAGCGAGTACAATGAACGACAAGCATAGACGATCGTCGACCAGTCCCGTCCAGCCCCGTTACCGATTTCTCTGACAGATATGTCTCATTTCCCGTAGGAAATCGGGTCGATGCAGAAACAAGGCTGCTCGTTATAATTACCAGTTTCTTCAGCTGCGAAAACCGAGCTCAGGAATTTTTAATTACACAAATATAAAGGCACAAAATGTGCGAACAAAAATTGAGCGCGACTAAAGAGGACGTACGCGAGTAATTTGACGTCCCATAGGACGGTTGTTCGGAGAATACAAGCCCACCACTCCCATTCCGTGGTATGGAACCGTATGCCACGCCAGACTACACCGCGTGTAGTCGTGCTCGTCTGTAAAAAATCCGCACACGCAAATTCAAGCGGCGACGATGCACGTGCTCGGTCATACACCGGTGAAGAGGTCAGCCGTTAACTCCGATCGACCCGTCTTCCACGTAACGAATAAGTACTCTCGGAGGCAACCAGTCGTGATAACGCGTGTAACGCCCCAACGATCCAACGTTTTAACGGAATCCATAGAAACGCAAAGATCAGAATACCACGAAGAAGTTACGTGGAACTGGTCCGCATGAAATACGGGATAACAAGGCGGAGAGCAGTAAGTCGTTGTTCGTGGTGGTGTCATAACGCGCTGTGCAATGACATCTCGCTATTACGAGGCATATTGCGCTACACACCACCACTTGTAATTCCTTAATGACTCGGAATGCCGGCTCTCTGTTCGAAGGGAGTGAAAGTCGCGGTTGAACGCGGCCCTCGCGATATACACCGAAAGAGAGAGAGAGAGAGAGAGAGAGAGAGAGAGAGAGAGAGAGAGAGAGAGAGAGAGAGAGAGAGAGAGAGAGAGAGAGAGAGAGAGAGAGAGAGAGAGAGAGAGAGAGAGAGAGAGAGAGAGAGAGAGAGAGAGAGAGAGAGAGAGAGAGAGAGAGAGAGAGAGAGAGAGAGAGAGAGAGAGAGAGAGAGAGAGAGAGAGAGAGAGAGAGAGAGAGAGAGAGAGAGAGAGAGAGAGAGAGAGAGAGAGAGAGAGAGAGAGAGAGAGAGAGAGAGAGAGAGAGAGAGAGAGAGAGAGAGAGAGAGAGAGAGAGAGAGAGAGAGAGAGAGAGAGAGAGAGAGAGAGAGAGAGAGAGAGAGAGAGAGAGAGAGAGAGAGAGAGAGAGAGAGAGAGAGAGAGAGAGAGAGAGAGAGAGAGAGAGAGAGAGAGAGAGAGAGAGAGAGAGAGAGAGAGAGAGAGAGAGAGAGAGAGAGAGAGAGAGAGAGAGAGAGAGAGAGAGAGAGAGAGAGAGAGAGAGAGAGAGAGAGAGAGAGAGAGAGAGAGAGAGAGAGAGAGAGAGAGAGAGAGAGAGAGAGAGAGAGAGAGAGAGAGAGAGAGAGAGAGAGAGAGAGAGAGAGAGAGAGAGAGAGAGAGAGAGAGAGAGAGAGAGAGAGAGAGAGAGAGAGAGAGAGAGAGAGAGAGAGAGAGAGAGAGAGAGAGAGAGAGAGAGAGAGAGAGAGAGAGAGAGAGAGAGAGAGAGAGAGAGAGAGAGAGAGAGAGAGAGAGAGAGAGAGAGAGAGAGAGAGAGAGAGAGAGAGAGAGACGCCGCCGCTGCCTCCAGCCTCGAAGACGAGAACACGACGATATCGCCAAGCCGTTTCTTCCCCGTGTGTATCTTTCTTCTTGGTGAACCGGGACACGTGTATGGCAACGTCTAACAAAGTCGATACGAGAGCATCCATCATCCTCCGAAAGACGTCTACAAAATGGTCTGATAAATAGTAACGTAACGTACGTCAACGAGCGCATTTATAACGTTTATCTGCCGGCTATCTGGTACCGTGTATCGATACTTCCTAATCGAATACAAAATTTCCAATCGGAAACCTTGCTGTCGTTTACGATCAGTCGACCATTCTTCGATCCGGTCAAGTCGATTTTACCAACGTAAGCCAGCAGAGAACGCTATGAACGACTTATTTTCTCGCATCAGGGCCGCGACAGTGGAGGCGACGAGGACGATTACGTGTTCTGGAAGGACACAAGAGGGGACAACGAGACACAACGTAGAACGAAACAGAGAAGCAAGGAGGATAATTCAGTGACTTCGAAGCCGGTTTTCCATGGCAGCCTATCACGAAACTCGCGAGCAACGACGAACAAGAGGGATGAGTCACGGCTGCTCACTCTTCCCACTCTTTCCACCGTGTGGCGAGGTTGCAAAAAAAGAAAAAGAGTCTGCGAGCAGCAACACGAAAGACAGAGAACAGCCAGAAGATGAAGAAGGTGGTAAAGAAACGAGGAGATTAGCCCTGACGATCTCGAGGTTACGGTTCGCCTACGCGTGGCCAGCTCGACGACCTGAGGTACGACCGAGAAAAAGGAGATAGGTCAATCTCGCTACTTATTATAGATACTTTAGATAGATAATCTTATTACAGATATTTTACGATGGATTTATAACGGACGATGGCGAAACCAAGAGCATTTTGTCGAACAGACATTTTGCACGCGTTTCGTTTTTAGAATCGCTGCTGGAAATCTCAGACGTTGTTTAAACAGAATCGTACTCGATTACTTATCGAGTGTACGTCATGTTATCCGTGCTGCAACGTAGATCTCGATCGACGATAAAGCGAAGGATAAAGGGATTTTGCCGCGTCATAGCAGTCGACGCTTTAAGTTAACGAAGAAGCACTTAGATAGTACAATTAACAAAAGGTTTTCGATAGTCGTCGATCGGGGGAACCGAGCTATAAATATCCAAGCAGTAAAATCGGTACGTGGCTGAGTATTATAATTGACTTTGTTAACGCTGATCGTTCCACTATTCGTTTATCATTTTTTGTAAAATAAATCTTTGATAATCACGAAAGGTTCGAGATTTATTAGACGTCTCGAGGCCAATTAAACACCGGCCGAGTTTCCGATCCGTGACGGTTATCGCGTGGTCGTTCTCGATTATACCACTACATGCCGATTGCTTGAAATCGAAGAGAGCACAAATCACGCTCGAGCGAGCAGTGTCCTGCGTTACGCTAGTTTCACCGACGTTTCTGACTTCCTTTCTACGCCTGGAATCGGTCGACTAATCGATCGATCGATCGGTCAGAGCCAGACTAAATTTTATTGTTTCACCTCCAGGTCTTTTGCAACGTGTGTTCTGAATCGACCAGATACTGCTAGAAGCAACAGTTAAATTTCCGTTGCTTTGTTTCCGCCGAACAGATTATACATACACGCGTCGTCAATAATATCGTGCTCTATGTTTATTCGAACCTCGCTACCATGATGATAGCTATCAATCGCAAAGACAAATTTCGATCTGAATAACGCTTCCAGAATGCGCCTTTTTTTTAAATACGAGGTAACGTAATTAATAATTCTGTTATCTCTGTTATATTATCGATTCCGATAGTGGTTGCGATTCAGCGCGTTTACGTCGTCGCCTCGATTCTACAGGGACGCAAGAAAAGCGTACAAAGATCCGATAAGGTAAGATTCTTCACTCACCTCTGCAAGAGGCTCCTCCTTGGTGATGTCTCCATTCTTGGGCGCTTCTTCACGGGCAGGCTTGTTCTTGTCCTTCTTGCTGAAGCTGATCGACCTGAAGGACCACTTTTTCTTCATCTATGAACGAGGAAACGGTATCGATAATGATCAAAGAACTCATTACGCGCAACTACGTGTCTTATTCTTCTAAGCTGCGTACACAATAGAATCTGTTCGGGCAATACACGCACGCGATGTATCGTCGACGAATCAATCTATCTGACTCTTCGAAGCTAGTCTTCCTTTATGTATATACTTTACCGTGTAATAAATGGAGTTTCGTCTTCCGTATACCACCACGGATTATTACATATTCCAAGACAATCGACCTCACCTTTTCCTTCTTTTTGGTTTCCTTGTTGTCTGGAGAGGTGACAGTGTTGGGACTAGCTGGAGTGCCTTCTGTTGGTGTTGTGACCTCCGCCGTTTCCGCGGGAGATTCTCCAGCCGGCTCTTGCTTCGTTTCCTCGGCCTTTACTTCTTCCTGCTGAAACAACGAGGAAAAGGAAAGACTTGTTGAAAATCGACTCGAGAGACATCATCTGAAGGTACGAAATGTTGTGGTCCTTTAAATAGTCGAATCCAAAGGAGCAACTCGCAGGGATTCGAAAGTGAACGCAAGTAGCCTGTCACCGACACGGCTCCATCCAGCCAATCGCATATTAACACAATCCCCGTGACAAAATTTGTGCTTGGGTGCTCGTAAAACCAGTAAAATCTGCATCGATATCGATCGGTGTGTGGTGAGGATTTGGAGCACGTGACAGCAGGTGCACCGGCGTTGCAGATTCTTGTAAAAGAATTACAGAGACCGTAGGCGACTCGATCGCCAATCGCGTCGATTCTCGCTTTACTTCGAATATATTGTACATAACTCGGATCGTCGTAAATTCAACAGCAAGCAAGATCTCGAAGGGAAGACCGTATTTTTCTTTCACAGGCGATACGATACTCGAGCAAGTCGTTTCGTGCCGCGTGAATTGCTTTTATTATTCATAAATCGAAGTTCTTTCGTCGAATAAAAAAAGAGATATACAAAGACAAATGCGAAAAGAGGAGCGCGAGCACGCGCATTTTAAATCTAAGTAAACAAAGAGCAAGTCAGCGAAAAATTACCAGGTATGGCGTGGAAAAATACGACTTCGCGGTAAATCCATAAAAATTAGCGAGAGGCGTTGTTCTCGCGCATGGAATTTCGTCATTCGCCACGCTTACGCGAACCGCAGCCGCCCGATTACATCATCGCGTAGGGCGAATTTTACTACACCGTGTTCTCCAAAGCGATGCCGGGAGCTATCGAACGATCGGCGATCGAAGAAAACGATTTGTGTTTGCGCGTGCGAGAAGAACAGCAAGAAAATGGTAGGTAGCGGTGAACCGATCGAGAGGACCAGAGCAAAGAAAAAAAAGCGAGAACGCGCTCTCGCAGCAACAGTTGCGAGACTTATCAGAATGAGACAGCTGCGGCTGTCGGACGACGTACAGGATGAAACCGCGAAAATCTCAGATTACAGAGAACGATCAGTGGTTCTCCAACCGAAGAATCGTAAAGTGAAACGCGGACTTCTTGCAGAGATTATGGATCCTGACTATAGTTCGGGGCATAGCCACGAGTTAAGATCAACGATAAAGAGAAATAAGAGGCGTAATGTTCGTGTACGCGTTTAATCGAAGAACAATACTCGACACTGATTGCTCGGTTTCCCGTAAATAACGATCGGAGCACGTATACTTTGTACGCGATACTGAATTATTCTATTTTATGAATCATTATTTCCGACATTCCTGAGCGTTTCTGGTACAATGAAATACGACGAACGAAGCATTGTTTACCACGCTCCTTGAAGGCCGCGGCGGATCCTGACCGCCTTCGATGGCGTAAACATTAGCTCGCTCTATTATCGATGCAAATCCTCGGGAACAATTCCACTTGGTAGCGTGTTTCATATACTACGAACGAGTTAACTCATCGAGTATATTACATTGAACACCGCTAATCGAACCGGCGATCCAATCATTATTCAGCCACAACGCGACCGAGCTACGAAATACCGTTCAAGATCTTGGACGATCGGAGGAAAATCGAAAGAATCGTCTATATACGGATGCGTTGTCGTTTGCCTCGATTGTATTATGTAAATACCCGGCTATTTTTGTTCTTGCCAGCCAGACAAGAAGACGCGCGCGTCTTGGATATCGCGCTATCGTGACTGATACCGAGGAGAAAGGAAAGAAGACAGTCTGTAGGCTACGTGGCAGAAGCGAAGAGGCAGAGGCAGCAATGTGCATGGCGTAGGCACGCGTTCCTCGTGCAGTGGCATTACGCATACAAGTTCGAAGACTTTATATGCGCCAACGATCCTCATCTACAGAGTCCCTATCCTTCGAGATCTTTCATTAACAACGCGCTCGCATTCGTACGATCGTGCACGCCAAGATAAATTATGAAAAGTTTCAACGATCGTTCGCTCGTTCGTTGGCTCTCGCCTCCCCCTCCCTCCATCTCCCCGTCAATTTTGATTTCGCTTATCTGACATCCTCGATTAACCCACGATTGCGAGGTCATACGTCGCAAAGAGGAGAAACGCGTCTGTTGGTTCGCTCGCGTTCGTTCCCAATGAAATTAAACGCACGTACTCGACTTCATAGTTTTTTCTAGCGCGCAACCGCGATTTAAATATTCATGGAAACGCGCGCCAGTGATTTATCTACGAGTTGATATTCAAAGAGGTACACGACGAGCTAGACCTTGCGCTCGATGCAAAAATTCGCGTTTTTCGATCGAACGGTATTGGCATACAAAGAAATCATCGATTCGAGGACACCGCGATCAACGAGCATCGATGCAGGTGCAGTTTCTACGACGAATTCCACGCGGTTGAATCAGCCCAGGTACTAAAATATCACGCGGTCGCTTTCGACTCGAACGAATCTCGAAACGAACCGGTGATCGCGAAATATTGCAAAATATCGACGTTACGACGACGCGAATCTCGGCAGAGGAATTCGCAACGATTCACACGAGAAACGTGACTGGACAAGGACACCGGATCTACGAATTTCGTGCAGGTAATCGCGAACCTTCCGTGATCGGTTCGATTCTCTCAAAGCGGCAGACGGACCCCGTTTCGTTTCCTCGGCAGCTAATATACAATGCAAACGCGTTCGAAAATGCGCGATTAAATTCACCTTCGGTTTAGGTCTCACCCTGAATTGGCAAGGCTCACGAAAAGATCAGGTGTCGCGTCTTTAACTCGCCCAGGGAATGCGTAAAAAATCGTACGCGGTCTCGTCCCCCGTTCCTCGGGGCAAATTGATTTTCTCGACGCGAAATCTTCCAGCGACCTTTATTGTCGACACGTAGTAGCTTGTCCGCAAAACATCCGATGGAATTCAAGCGGCACGCAGTTTTAATTAGCGGCGACAAACAGATGAGTCGCGTCTCGTATTAATTAATAAACCGAGTTGGTTTTGGACTTCTGGAGAGGGGAAGCGTAGCGCACGATGATTCACTCAGAAAGCGCTTTTCTCGAGATGGTTTACGCTACATAAGCGCCGTTTAAAACATCGCGTGTTCCCGACCAACAGTGGCCTGTCCGACGAAATAAAACTATCGCAAGGAATTCAGGTTACTCGGCAACGTACACACGTTCGCAAGCATCGCGACCGACCGCGAGAACTCTTTCGACGACCGATAAAAAGTTTGACCGAAAAATAGAAAAAAGAACGGTGGCAGGCCGAAATTGTATTTTTAATTAAAACCCGTTAATCCCACGGAAATGAGAGTCAGTTTCTGCACGTGTAAGTGTTGTTGTAAGCACATGTTGTTAAATTACATGGACAAGGTTACGAAAGTAAGGTCCGATCTTCCTATCAGATTGACTCGCGTAGTCAGACCGCAGATATATCTTAAATTATTCGCGAAACACCGGCCGGCGCGGCGCGTCGTAGATCCTCATTGACGAAAAATAAAAGATCAGCAAGCACGCTGGCTGAATGTGGTAGACGTCGTTGAGGCAAACGTATCAACGGCAGGTGCTCGATGCGAGCGAATTCTCTCGAGCAGCGTCTCACTGCCGTACGCGCACCTGGCTCAGAGATTTTGCAAGATTGCAGAGAGATGCCTGGACGAGCGGATGCGCGCCTTGTATTTTAATAGCGGTGGGTAGGTTTAGCGAAAAGGTGGGTAGAGGCGCGCAAACCAACGACAGGACGAAAGATTTATTCGTCTAGGACAGTTAGGTATGCACCGGTAAGAACGTTTACGCGGACAGACGCGGTTACAGTTAGTCGCGAGAACGCGTTACCGGTACGCGTGCACTTCTGTGCTCCGGTGCTACCGAGTCAACACCATTCGGCCTAGACGAAACGGTATTTCGATATTTTTTCTACGCGAAAATTTAGCCAACTCTCCGGTGTTTCCGCGAATCTATCTGGAGCGACGACTACGTAATCTCGGTAAGCCGAGCGTTGCGTCGACATCCCGCTATCTCTATGTGCATCCGGCGCGGCATGGCGATCGCAATATACCCGATCGTGAACCTGTTGCGGCCTCGATAACACGCTTATGGCGAATTAGCGCGGTTTCCGTGAGTTTGTGCGTGAAAGCGAGATCGAGAAATCGATACCGACACCGAGCATTACGTTTACCGAGGCTGTATCAAAAGATTTCGAACCGGGATCCTCGTATATACGTTCCACTAACAGTAGGAGAGAACACTTTCGTTCTCGCGTCGAATAAAATCAACGGTCCGATTTACTCCTGTTTCTAGCGTTTATCTAGGCGAACCGTTACACACCTCTGGAAAGATCGCTATCCTGCTTTCGTTAAGTGGCACAATGGGCGTACTCTGCATGTAAAAACACACTTTTCCAGGAAATTAAATGCACGGCTTTCTCGGGCGAGCTTTATACTACTCGGTCTAGAAATGTACAGCGATCAATACACGCGGACAGCACGTCGCGACGTCGAGTTTTGTGGTGGAGATAATAGAATCGCGACGCCAAGAAGCAGGAAAAATTGGAGACGACCGATAAGCCTTTTTAAATCCCTCGTGTCGTCGGTCAGATGGAGAAGGAAATGGAAAAGGACCTGCTATTAAACGGAAATGAAAGCAAGAGGCAGAAGAGCGGTCTTTCTCTCTCTTTCTCTCTGCCCCTCTTTCACGCGCGTTACCGTATCTAGTGCATGACAGCTGCCGGGGTTACTCAATCGAGGAAATATCAGGTTTCGTCTAGCTGGGAGCATTTCGCGATATACACTGCGAGACGCTTATGCGATTCGACGAGAGTGACAGTTCAAACTTTCGATACAGTATGTTTACCGTTGACAGTCTCCGCGTTATGCTTTTCAGATTTCCTTGATATGGAGATGGATCGACGCTCGCGAAAAATAACACCGATTCATCGACCTGCCGAATGGAACGTGACGGATCGTTGGTGCAACATCCGACCGTTTTAAAATTTTTTACTAGAGCATCCGCTCGTTTCGCAGTAAGACGAGCTTTATGAATTTTTGCCTGCAACGATGAGTTCTCTGAGCGAGTCGAACGCCCGGCGTATCTCCTAGGCCGATCTCGGAATAGCACGAAAACGCTGCGAGCGATGTACACACGTAAGACGCACGTGCGTAACGGGGCGTGTATAGTATACGTGTCGCTCGTCCAACGTTACATAGAACGCCATATCGACGACAACAGACGCAACGCGGTGCTTCCGCTTGTCGAATAAGAAGTCGCGTTATAGTCGGTGAATCAATTGAATTTAATAACCAAGTTGTACATTGTGTTCTAGAAAAAAAATCGAATGAAATGTATATTCGCGATTACGCGCCGTACGGTTTCTTGCTGATTCATTAACGCGTTTCAACGGTCAAAAAGTTTCAACGAGTTCGAGGAAACGTGTTGTAGAAGAACGTTCTACAAGCCAGCGCTGTGTGTCATCGAGAACAAATATGTACGTTGGTCGTAAAGAAACGTTTCTCTAAATATACATGTTCGCACTGTTTCTCCACTGTACCCGCACGTCTACGGCGAATAACAATTTTCGATTCTACTCGATAAGTAAAAAATAAAGCATCGATGTTTCCGACGTATCTCACCTTCTCTTTATCCTTATCCTTTTCCGTTGCATCGTCCTTATCCTTGTCTTTATCCTCGGCCACGTCCGTGTGCGGCGCTATTCCATTGGTGGTAGGCTTCGTGTCGGTCTCTTCGATCCTTTCCAGCTTGCCATCGCCAGGTGCAGCGGCATCACCGACACCTCCTTCGGCGGGCAAACCCTCCTTCTTCGGAGTCGTCGTTATGTCCACGGACCTTCTGCTCTGTCTCGCACCCATCTTTCCTCTTTTTGCCTCTCTATCCCCTTCTGGCTCACCTGTCTCTCGTTCGCGCTTTCCGGATGCTGTGATCAGGTGTCGTGCGTCGAATAAAACTAACCTGCAATCAAGCGGCGAAAGTGAGCGAAGCATCAAGCGCGATAATTCATGTATGGGTTAGCGATCACTGATTTGAGGGGACACGATGCAGTTTATCGATGCGCGGCCCTTCGCATTTGAATATCACCAAAGTACAACAAAAGTAACGTTCGTATAACATTAGACCAAGTTTATCTCTTTCTCGCAGCAGAGTAATTTCTTAATTGGGAGCATGACGACATATTGGTTTCCTGGAATCGAGAGATAAGCGAGCGCGACTCACCGGTATCGTATCGAAATGCGGATAATGTCATACTCGATATATCGTTGTGATTTTCGTACAAGCAGACTTGTCGATTCGCGTTGCAGGTGCAACTCGAATCCTCGCGTCCAAGACCGACTTCGATAGCGCAACCTTCGTGCAAAGCTTTTTCGTTGCCATACACGGCTCGTGAAAGAAACCACAAGGCATACCAGCGATAATGAATAATATATGAACCCGTTGCACGAAAGACAAAGAGGAAAACAGAAAGAGCGTACAACAACGCGATACGCTTCGCGAGAGAAAGAAATTCCTCGCGAATGAAACGTCGAAGGTAATTGCGTTAAAGAATTCAACGAAATCTCTTCATCCATTTGTTAGTTTCTGATATGATAATTTTTGAGTTGTGGTATCGAAAGGAAATCGCTTCGTCGGATAGAAAGGACAAAAAGCGCGAAGCAAGAGGCTCTCCGAACGAGCAGATCTCTCTAATTATCCTGCTAGAAAATAGGCTGCGAGCCGTTAAAAAGACAGGAACGTTGGTTAACGGTTCCGAGGTCGATTCGAAGCTTCTCTCACGGTAAAAGAGGAAGCGATCCGTTGTGTTCGAGCAAGGAGTGCGAAAAACTAGCACGCCGAGGCGAAGTCGAACACGAGACCAGGCGCATTCGTGTGTAAGACGCGTTTAAAGAGCACGTGGCGTGGCTACGCACCGCTGCCCGCCTCGCAGCTACGATGCGTAACGCATCTGCGGCCACGACTACCCGACCACCGGTTTATCCATTGTACCCAGACAGACCAAGATGAAAAATGATCGAGATCTCGACAAACGGATAAATTCGAGGTTCGTTTCGAATCCTTAGCATCGAAACATATGCTGATGATTTTTCGTTAAAAATGTAATGCAACGCAACGTTTCTAACGGTAACTCCGTGACTATCGACAAACACTTCACGGTAAGCAACGCCACCGAGCGATTTCAAATCCGCGAAGGTAAAACGATCGATCGCGCGTCGTTAATGATAGACGATAATTCAAGTTTTACTAAAGCAAAGGTAACACGGCTCGAACTGCGCGCGTATCGTTGTCATTCAATAATAGCATTTGTCTGTGGTAGCCTATTCGCGGTACATTGCACTTTCCAGTTGCGTTCCACGGACCGACCACGCTTGCGCTAATGCGTTAGAAGCTAGTCATCTTTCATGTACCGGGTGATGGTCCGATATCGACGAGGCTACTCAAAACAGAGACGGAAAAAATTCCTGGAAGAAAGGCAGGATATCGACAGTGTTTTTCAATTTGAATTATCTATCGTCTATACTTATCAATAGCTTCGAGTTTATGTAGCGAAGAAGTTTTTACCATCGCCGTTATCTTCACGTAACGGAATAATGATTCACAATAGAGATCCCTGTAAACTGTCGAAACACTCTCACACTCATCGATACCGAATTTTCCGAACAGATTGGAGTACGCAGCGTACAAAGCACAAGTTCGCTGGATCGAAGAAAATACTATTAAAAGTTCCGCTTCATCCATGGAATTCATATTAATAATTCCATGAATCCATGGAATTACGACAAGCAGTTATCGAGGCGAACGTTACTTGGTCTTTTTCAAAGGAAATTCGGTCCCACGAATAAAAGAATTTTCGACGACTTTCCTCGCCGCTCCGAGAATTCCTGTTACGAAATATCAACAAGCAAGGAAACCGTTCCGAGAAAAAGGAAGCGCTTAATTAGTCTCGATCATACATTAGACAGCAGGAAGAAACTCGACAAATATTTATGTTGTTTCATCTCTACCGAGTGTAGCGAGCATATGCAACTACGGGGCACCCACGATGGTATGTCGGTAAAAAATAGATTTAGTGTGGCTAAAGTACATCGAAAGTGGAGCGTTGGAGAGGTCAAAACACGTGTCGAACTATCGTATGCTCGTGGGAAGCATGGAATCATCCCACAGGAAAAATAGCCTTTCCTCTCATAACTCACTCTCGTACCTACTACGATTTATCTCTCGCTGACGTTCCTATATTTAGTATATCGCCGGTTGCAAACTGCATCGTCAGATAACACCTAGTACCCGTTCTCCGTTTCATTCGATGACAGCCAAAAAATCACCCTACGTATCTGTCTTTTCTTGGCATATTATTCCACGGCACAGCTGTAACGATCCCTAACCGCTTCGCATCGGAACACAAAATATCTCACCGTACAGTGTCGTTTATGTGACGCCTTGGACAAGATATCTCGCATATATTTTCATTAGAACGCGAAATGTCTCGTCCAACGACTAGCATAAAATTCAATTCGTAAGACACTGCGTTTGTGAATGTGAAATGGATTAGAAATGTTAAACGAAGGAAATGTTCTGTTTCTGTAAACAAGTGATCTTATTTTTCTGTAGTATGAGATAATTCAAAGCAAGGTATTGTATATAATGTTACATTACGATGACCGATAAACGACATTCAGCCGTAAACATTAAAACGCGAGATATTTCGTTCAAAGCATCGCATGAACGATATTGCGTCGCTAGATATTTCGCCCGGTCTTATGTAAACAACACAACATGACAAGATATCTCATCCAACGCGTATCATGAACGACATCGCGTTGCGAGATATTTCGTCCAGCGAAACGAAAAGAATACTGAAGGTGTACCAGTCACGATGCGTAAAACGTAGTAGAGCCAAGCAGATAGTAGGAACGCGAAAGGAAGTCGGCCGCCATCGAAACCACTTATTTCATCGATTCACGCTTCAAATACCGGTTCAACGACTCACTACGGTAAGTATTGTTTTTCTGGAAACAAGGCAAAACAGCCAAGGGAATCGTGTCATATCTCTGAATCATGAAACGATCCGACACTTAATAAAATGCGATATCCTATCTATCACACGCCATTTGTAATGTATCTTTATTTGCAAAATACCAAGTTCCATGCAAACGTACTTTTCTGTTGCGTCACCCGTAGATTTCGACCGAGAACGGGGAAGAGAGAGAGAAAGAGAATATCGATTTCGATGTCAACCTCCGAATTAATTATCGATTCATTGCGAGCGAATAGTAAAAAATAAAACACGTACTGAGATTTCTTTCTGCAGATCCGCTCAATAGATTAATAGGCACATTCAGAGGTCACTGCCGTCGAACTATTAAGGCCTGAACGACGATGTCACGCCAAGACCGCGTTGGTCAACGTATGGGAAACTAAATTCCAACGGTATATATACACTTTGGAACGATGCTAATGAGACAATGTCTACGACGTTTATGCTATTTCAACGATATTACTGTCGCCGTAGTGTCCTCGCTTTCGATCGCTGTTACAAAACAAGCGCACGTTCCAAACTGTATCTACACGATTCGACGAAACGCTGGGAACGCCGAATTCTCGAGAAACGATAACGATAACATTTTCAGCGTATTTACATAGTGACTCAGAAAATTGTTCCACGAGCGTCCGGTTAATCGCTGATCAAACGCACTTTCACATTTCACGGGTCGTTAAGATATCCGCGTTAGAACATGAAACACGTTTGTAAACGCGATCGTACAACGATCCCGCGATCGTCCCGATTAACGCAACGTGCTGTATTAAATCAAGGACACTGCATCGAAGGCTCGCGCGCGAGTTTTACAAACTTGTCGAACGTGGTACTCGACCAACACACAATCACATCCGTTGAGTCATTAACGGCAAAAAAAACGCATATCAGTCCAACGAAAAAAAGAAAAAAAAGAAAAAAAAGAGAAAAAGGGAAATTCCTTTTCCCTTGTCGCACGAGAGTACGTGCGTGCGAGAGCACGATGCAGGCTTGATTCCCACGGAGTAACGGGCCGGGGGCAACGCCGCATAAACAGCGTACACCCAATCAATCGTCCATTATTTTCATAAGGCGAACACGCCTAATACTCGTGACGCGGGGATGTTAGGTGAATAATTTGTCGTCGAAAAAAGCACATCTGCTCGGGCCACTGTTCTCGAAATTGAGAATTACGAGTGTGCCGAGAGAATGAAGCGACGTCGTCGTCCCGTATTCAGGCGCGTGTCCCGCATGCGTGAACGGATCTGGCGCGGCGCACGTGCGTGCGTACG